GGGGCGTCAAGCAGGGGCTGGGGGCCCGGACGCCTGGGTTCACTCACGGCTGGGCCGCAGCTGCAGGGCACACAGAATGTAGCGGGGGGGCAGGACCCCGTGGGCATCTCCAGGCGTCAGGACCACCCCGTTGGCCGCGCGGAAGAACCGGATCCCATCTGCGGGGGCAATGTGGGGGACAGAGGGTCACCCGGATGCCTGGTTTCTCTGAGGGAGGCTGCGGGATTAGATGGTGGGGGCAAGGGGCCCGGACGCCCGAGTCCCCCCGGCTGCACGCACCTGCCAGCGCCTGCGGCCCATCGATGACGACGGCCACCTCCGAGTCCGGCCGCATCCCTGCAGGGACCAAGGGCTCCGGTGAGGTGTCGGAGCCTGGACGCCTGGGTTCTCTCCCACCTCTTGGAGGGGCCTGATCCTCCCCGCCTGCTCGGCTCTCTCCTGGCTTGAGGAGAGGCCTGGTCCCCTCCCCGCCCCCTGGACTCCTGGGTTCTCCCCCAGCTCGAGGGGCTGATTCTCCCTGACTCTGGGACGGGGCTGGTCCCCCCCCTCCCCAGACGCCTGGGTTGTCCCCAGCTGCAGGAGGGGCAGGCGGCGCTCACCGCTGAGGACCCCGGCGTCCCCGGGCAGGCCGGGCGCCAGGTGGATGTGGGTGCGGCCGCGCCGGGACAGGCCCCCGCGGCGGATGGAGTCCCAGAGCCGGCGCCGGGTGCCATGGGCCAGGGTGGGGGGCAGCGACTCTGGCGTCTCCAGGGGCGTCAGCTCCAGCTCCGGCACCTGAGGGGGCAGGGGAAGCCCTAAGCCCCACCCCCACCCCCAGGGCCCTGCCAGCTTCCTTAGGCTCTGCCCCCAGGCAAATCCCAGCCCCGCCCATGCCCAGCTAGGCCCCACCCCTGTGTCCCTCCCCCAGCCCTGGACAGACCCTGCCCCATATGGGCCCTACCCCCCAGCTAGGCCCCACCCCCAAACTACCTCTTTCCAGAGCAGGCTCCACCCCCACACCCGGCCCTGCCCCTGGCTAGGCCATGCCTTCTCAGCCAGGCCCCACCCCCTACCTCTAGGGAGTGTCCCTGATTGGCCCGAATCTGCAGCCCCCCAGAGGGGGCGGGGCGCAGGGCAAATCTCTGCTTCTCATTGGTCTCCACCACGCGTCGCACGTCGCCCTCCGACACACCCGCGAGGCTGGGCAGCGCCAGCAGCTCCTGCAGCGCCACGAACCCATCTGCGGGCACAGCGGGACCCAGGCAGCGGGGTGGGGGATCAGAGTGGCGAAGCCTGGCAGGATGGGGGGCACAGCCCGGGGAACCCAGGCATCCCGCAGCCCCACGGCGGGGTCAGAGGGCAAGTATCCAGGCGTCTGGGGCTGCGCCCTCCCCACTCCCCGCCCCCCCCCCGCCCGGGGGCAGCCCTGGGCTCTCCCCTCCCCGTGGGGGGAGGGAGGAGCCAGGCGTGGCCACGCCCCAAAGACAGAGGCGGCGGGGCCATAGGGGACCACACCCTCTATTTGCCCAAGGGGGCGGGGTCAGTGTAGCCACGCCCACGTGTCCCACCTACCTGCCCCCATGTGCAGCCCCAGCTCGACCGCGCCGTGCCGCAGGGCGTAGGACAGCGTCCGGGACAGGCGGGTGTCGGGGTCCTGCGAGAAGAGACGGGCCAGTCGCCTGGGTTCCCTCCAGCTCCGGGGGGCAGAGCTGGGGGTGCTGGCGACAGAGGGGCCCTGGGTGCGCCAGGGGAAGGTCCTGGCCATGAAGGGCGCGTTGCCCCCGGCGGCTGGGGGGCGGCAGCGGTAGGCGGGGGAGCTCCCGCAGGTGCCCCCGGCACTGTCAGCAGGGGAGGGGGCCGTGGCAAGCGCCCACCAAGGGTCAGCGCCCACCCGCGCCCGCCGCCGCCACGGGCAGCATTGGCAGCGGCCCCC